AACGTAGACCAACAATAGTCCACTAAATATCAATCTACCTATTAATTGTTGTTAAGGGAGTGTTTGAAATTGTTTATAAAAACAATTTATTAACTTATTTCGGTGTGACACCGACAATAAGCATTTTTGAGTGTTTAGAAAAATAGTTTATATCGGTACCAAACCGGTAATAAGAAGTTTTTGAATAAGTTAAATCATTGTAACTTATAGTAAGTTGATAAAGATTTTTTATAAAAAACATAATTTGTTTCAGATAAGCAATCCCAAACACTCCCTAACTAAATTTTCTCAAAACACTTATTTCAAATCAATGGGACAAATAAATAAATAATTTAATAACGGGAAAAGTCTAAAAAATTCAATGGACTTTAGTGTTTTGAATGATTAAGTCATTGGAGAATTTTTTTGGAACAAATAAGTCTTTCGACATTCCAAAACATGTTAAATAACTACTTGGACTTTTTAAAACTTGTGAGATTCATACTTATTACCTATACAACTGGTTAATGTAGTAAAAAATGGAAAAATAAAAAAACTCAATGGACTTTCATATTTTGAATGATTAAGTCCATAAATATTTTTTTGAATAAAAAAAATATTTACATCTATATAATGAAACAAATATACCAAAACTTACATTTAAAAAAGATTATTTATGAAATTTATTTTAATTAAAAATAAAATATATTATGTCAGTGAATTTTCAAATAAAAAAATTTAAAAAAGATTACTGATTAAATTTATTTTAATTAAAAATAAAATATTCTGTATGTGATTTTTCAAATTAAAAAAATAAAAAAAGATTTAAAAATGATTACTGATGAAATTTATTTTAATTAAAAATAAAATATATTCTGTTGACGATTTTTCAAATTAAGAAAATAAAATTAATTAAAATTTGTCGCTGATCCGTCATTGAAATGATATCATTGACCGACGAGATTCAAGCACGGTCTTTCACACTTATGAACATGTTATTGTGTGACGGTGGTCAAGTTAGCCATCAATTAGATATAAATAATCCATGCATATATACGGTATACCAATGAATACTAACGACAAATTTTCATTAATTGTGTATTTAGTTAAATTTTATCGTAATCCGTCAATAATTTAATCAAATTATTTTCTATTTTTTTGGAAAATCACCAACGAAATATATTTTATTTTTAATTAAAATAAGTTTCATCAGTGATCATTTTTAAATCTTTCTTTATTTTTTTAATTTGAAAAATCTCATACGGAATATTTTATTTTTTTGTCGTTGATCTGTCATTGAAATGATATTACCGACCGACGAGATTCAAGCACGATCTTTCACACTTATGAACATGTTATTGTATTCGAGTATCTAACGGTAGTCAAGTTAGCCATCAATTATATATAAATAATCCATGCATATATACCAATCAATAGTAACGACGAATTTTCATTAATTGTGTATTTAGTTAAATTTTATCGTTAATCCGGCAATAATTTAATCAAATTATTTTCTATTTTTTAATTTGAAAAATCACCAACGAAATATATTTTATTTTTAATTAAAATAAGTTTCATCAGTGATCATTTTTAAATCTTTTTTTTTAATTTTTTAAATTCAAGAAATCATATACGAAATATATTTTATTTTTAATTAAAATAAATTTAATCAGTAATCATTTTTAAATCCTTTTTATTTTATTTTTTAATTTAGAAAATCACTGACATAATATCTTTTATTTTTAACTAAAATAAATTTCATCAATAATCTTTTTTAAATGTAAGTACTTTTTTGGTATCTTTGTTTCAGTTTACAGATGTAAGTGTTTTTTTGGTTTAAAAAATGTTTAAAAACTTAATCGTTTAAAATATGAAAGTCTATTGGTTTTTTTTATAAAATTTTTCCATTATTTAACCACATTAATCAGTTTTATAGGTCATAAGAATGTATGTAACAAGTTTTAGAAAGGTCAATGACTTATTAAACAAGTTTTGAAATATCCAATGACTTATTTTTTTTTTTTTCTAAAAATTTGTTTAAAAACTTAATCATTCTAAAGACTAAAGTCCATTCGATTTTTTTTAAAATTTTTCTTTTTAATAACTTCCAAAATTATTTAGTTTTATAATTTTTTTTATTATAAATTATATTGATTATATCATTTATTTAATATTCTCAACTTAATCGACATAAACTGTCAATAAGACTATAAGAGTTGTGACGCTATATTATGCATTATTTTGGTCAAGTTGTTTTTCCTCCTATTCCTTAAATTAACATTTTTAATAGTTTGTCTGATTAAAAGAAGTTTTTTAGGTACGACTACAATAGTAGAATATATATTTTATCTACATTTTTGTTGAAAAATGCAATTAAAAAAATCAATAAGAACCTACTTTATATAGAATAAACTACACTTTTGGTTCTTGTGGTTTGTCATAATTAATTACGGATTCGGTCCTCGTGGTTCGTTTATTACATCGGTGGTTATTGTCGTTTGTAAATCTTTATAGATTTGGCCCATCGATCTAATAGTTGTGCTGAACATATGAGGTCAGATATTTTCGTTTATTTATATTGTACAAGTTTGTAAAACTTATGAACAATTAACTGAAGCTATGTGTCAATAGAAAAACTAATAACCCCTCGTATCATAACCAACAAATACATTTTTCAAAACCTTGATCGCTTTAATTCCATTATCAAGATCATCATAAAGATCATCAAGAAGATTAACAAGAACATGATCAAGACTATAATGAAATTTTGTGCAAATTCATTAGAAAAAGTTGTGATGCAAAACCAAATTTAAAACCTTAAAATTCATTCATAAAAATTAAACCCTAAAATCAATTATAGAATCAAATCCCTTAAACCATTCTTAGAATCAATAGGGGTTTGAATTTTTTTGCAATTGTCGATATCGATTTTAAGGACTTAATTTGTTGTTATTATGGTCGATGAAAGCCTTTGACATAGTGATGAAGATCTCAAAGTCCATTAATGCTTTCTACTTATACAATCCACATCTCTTCGTATAAAAGCAATTTCATCTAGGTTCCCCATAGTTGTGTCAACCCCCCTCTTTTTCTTCTTCTTCCCCAAATAGGTTAAGAGCGCGATACTAGCATGGTGGTGATCTGGAGGGTTTTCTTGAAGTGGTAGTGATAGTGTCAAAGCAGATAAATGAAGTGATGATTAGTTAATTTTCTTTGTGGATCAGTGATCAGTTCAGCGAAGGTAGTAAGAAGTAGTGAAACCAGCAGAACCACTCGAGTGGTGGGAGAAGAACGGGAAAATATATACTCACATACATACATACACACACATATATATATATATATATATAGAGAGAGAGAGAGAGAGAGAGATACATACATACATAAAGGAACGATCAAATAAAAACCACCCTCATTTGTAAAAACCGTACAAACCACCATCATATGTCGATTTCATTGTTTAATCTTATGAAATTTTTTCATGAAATTGTTTAATCTTATGAAATT